GAGGCCATGAAAGAGTTCTGTTTACTGGCTTGCTCCTCATGGTTTGCTCAACCAGATATCTATCTATCTATCTATCTATCTATCTATCTATCTATCTATCTATCTCCCAGGATCACCAGTCCAGGTGTGGCGCCACCCACCGTCATCTGGGCCCACATGTTAGTCTAGTGGGGGCAGTTCCTCAGCTGATGCCCCCTCCTCTCAGATGATTCTAGCATGTGTCAAGCTGACATGAAACTAGCCAGCATACCATGTAAATGTGGAAGGATAGAACTGACTCCACAAAGTTGTCCTCTGACTTCTACATGTGTGCTGCGGCACCCCCTCCCATACTAATAATATATAAACAGAAACAACACATACACATAACAAGACAAAATGACAAAAACTGCAATAAGTCATAGAGCAAGTGAGGCCCTGGGTTTGATTCCCAGTACCATAAGACAAATAAAAATCCAGTAAGCTGGGTTGAACTGGGATTTTGTTGTATGCAACTAAACATTAGCATTATTATTAACATGAATACAGACTGTATCTTTTGAGTAAATTCCCTCTATTTATTGATTGATTTGTGTTTTTTTGAGACAGGGTTTCTCTGTGTAGCCCTGGCTGTCCTGGAACTCACTTTGTAGACCAGACTAGCCTTGAACTCATAGAGATCTGCCTGCCTCTACCTCCTGAGTGCTGGGATTAAAGGTATGTGCCCCTGCTGCCTGGCAATTTCCCCCTTTTAAGGAAACTTGAGTCTGTAATTCACACCCAAAGGTGAATTACAAGGACAAGGGACTCATTTGATGTACTATTTCACAGAGAAGGAAACTGAGGTCATGGGACAGAACCTGAGCCCAGGGATACATTGAAAACATAGGAATCAGTTACTTCTTAAGTATTTCCCTGAGTACCTCTCCAGAACATTCAAGTGATGGTTGCGAATAAACCATGAGTGTCCTAGCTCCAAAGCTCATTTGTCAAGTTATTTGGCACTCTCCAAGCCTCAGCTTCCCTTGCTGTAAAATGGGGCAATGATAGTCTACCAAAGTTATCTTTCATGGAAATGACAGTGAGGATCCAATGAGATTCTTACTATCTAAATACAGATAATATACAGAGGAACAGATAGAAATAAACACATTGTATGCTTTGTGCGGTGTCTGGCACACAGAAAACCCTCAATGGTTAGCTATTGTTATGATAATTATCATCACCACCACCATCATCATCATCATTAAACTCCTGGGCTTAAACCCAAAGCCGTCAGTCTGAGCCCACAATCCCTGTTGCAAAGGGACAGCTGCATTTGCGGTCAGCCTATTCTCCAAAGACTCAGGATTTGGCTGTTGCTGGCAGAGCATCTTAATGTGGCTCAGTGTTTTCATTTCTGTCATTTTGTTGTACCTGCCCCCCGAGGCAGCTGAAGCAGAAAGATCTTCTTGAAAATGAAAATAAGCTGTGAGGAAGCCCCCTTGTTTTTCTCCGTGCTCAGGCTGGTTTTCAGGGTGTCTTTTAAGCAGGGAAGCCTTGGAATCCAGGGGATCAGAGCACAGGTGTGACCTCTGGAGGTGACAGGTTGGGTGGGTTGGGGTCAGTAGGTGAAGAGGACAGCCAGCGGCCAGAACAACAGTGCCTTGAGCAAGCAGTAGTTTTTTAAAATCACACAACAGCAAGAAGATTGCCCATCAATTAGAGCCACAGATATTCAGAAGCTAACTTAGCAAACGCTAAAGATTATTTTTAACTGTGCATACCAGACAGCCGGGCTGACTCCTCTGGCAGCTCTGTCAATCTCAGCAAATCTGAACTAGAGTCATGGAAGGTGACAGCAGGGGAAACCGCACATCAGGACAACTCTTTCCTGGGTGTGCAGACAACTAAGGAAAAACTTTCCAATGAAGCTGACCACTCAGGAGGGACCCATCACCGTGGCAGGAAGTGCCGTTCTGCTTGAGGCACTTGTCCAGGCATCCTTCCGGACCGCCCTTCACTGAGGGAACAGTCCTTGGCCTTTCTCATTTGTGGATATTGTCACTTGCTCTCAGTTCTGCTTTGGGGAATTAAGGCAACCTTCAGCATCTCTCCTTTGACCTTTGCTGGTTTCAAAGCTAATCTTAAGATAACGACGTCCCCTTTCCCTACTCTTGGCATTTAGGGATAATATTCATCTTCTTAGGGTTGGGTATGGAAGGAGATGCTTAGACTCTGGTATCTCTTTTAGACAGGGATAGGGGATGGTTGGGAAAGGTATGGTTTAGATGGGATATGGGTAGATTAGCCTATCTTCTTGTGAATTATTTTAGTAATAGTAGATATTAGTATTATACAGCTTATAGATTCTTATATGTGGTAACCTATGTAAAATTAAGTTTTTATTCCCTTCCCAAAATTGTACATAAATTGTATATTTTGTCATATTGTGAAAATCTCTCCAGTTATGATGGTTTTTGCACAAAATCCTTACCATATTCTATGTATGTATATTTTTACTTATGTTCAAGACATTTTTGTATATTGATACAATTCAGGATATTTTTACCATGCTGCACTTCATAGTTCTACCTCTGGTCTAGACATTTCTACTCTACCTCTGTTTTAGGGATTTATATGTATACATACACATACATAGTTATATTGCTTAGGTATCTGTCCCTGCTTTACTCAGGGAAGTTTCAGTTAGTGTTATAGCTAGGTTCCTGAATATTACAGATTATCTTCACCCATGTTTCCTATACCTATGAGATTAGTCAGACATAGATGCTTAATCTTCAAACACTTCATAAACCTGCAGAACATGGAATTTAAACATTTTAATATCAATACTCCGTTGACATGAGACACTATTGCTCCTGACAGCACCATGCACTTTCCCGAAAATACGTTGGACACTGTTGTCGCTCCTTTTAGAGTCTATCCTTGCTTCAGCTATGGCCCCCACCTTGACCACTGATTTGGATGTGTGGTTCTATGTGCTTGCAGGAGACAAACATAGAAGACTTAAGCTTTCCAGCTTAGGACAATTCTATTGTAAACCCCGTTTCAACTTCACTCTAGGGTTAGATAGTTAGGTCTTAAGTTAGTATGTTCTCGATTTTCCTTTTCTTAGAGCACACTTGTTAGTCACTGTTTTGTATATAGCCTTGTATCAAACCTAAATCTTTCCTTTAGACTAAAAGGGAAATTGTAGTGAGATATTCACTATGTCCGCATCTGTGGCACAGACCATGCCCATTGGGGGTGGAGTCAGGGCCAGACTGGGTGAACTAAGTTTGAGGAGGGGGCTCTGAGAGCTCTCTGGCTTGCAGCACGGGTACAGGAGAACATCCTGAGGCATCCTTGGGACCAGGAACCTGATGGTGTTCATCTGTCTATGTTGTAAGTTATTTCTCCCTGAATAAACATCTATTCAGCCTATTTGTTTCTCCTGGTCCTTATTAAACATCAATAGGCCTGTGTCTCACAGTCTGTGTGCTCTGGTTAACACCCTATTTGGCTAGAGGGTCATCACACATAGGTCTTGCATCATCTGTCTTCCCAGCGAGGCACACTGGTCAGCTTCCTTGGTCTCCTTCCTCTTTCTTTCTGAGTCTAACTGAGAAAGACTGGAGTGAAGCCTGAGCATCTAAATTTGCGAAGGTGGGACAGGTGCTCCCATACATGTAATCCAGCTTCTTAAGCCATAGGGCTAGGCTGCATATGAGGTCACATGACTAAATATGGGGTTAAAATTTGGTAACAGTAAAAGTGAATGCACAACCACCAAAATGTAATTCAAAATTGAACCAGTGATGAAGCTGAGGTGTTTCTGGCAGTACTTACCTGTGTTTCACTGTTTGCCTTCCCTGAAGCCTTGCTTCTGGATGCACAGCATCTGTACTTCGCACTGTGCATGCCTCACCCCACATTACACCAGAGAGACTGGCTCAAACACCTCAGCTCAGATCTGACACTTGTGGATGCAAGGAACCGTAGTATTTTTACTGTATATGTGAGGATTTCTGCTTTTACAGAAATATGAAGGTTTAATTAAAGAGTTTTCCTTCCATCATTCTTTGGCATATAAGCATCAAGTTAGTGTAACTTTAGATTGAATTGTGTCAGAATATATAGTTTTAAAAATGGTTGCCCAGCAATGATGGTTTGTCCAAACTTTTAAACCCAGCACTTGGGAGACAGAGGCAGGCAGATCTCAGTGAGTTTGAGGTCAGCCTGGTCTACAAGCAAGTTCCAGGACAGCCAGGGCTGTTACACAGAGAAATCCTGTATTGAAAAAAACAAAACAAAACATCAGCAACAAAAAGTTGTTGCTTGTAGGCTGATGAGATGGTTTAGCTGGTAACCATGCTCCTGCCAAGTCTGACAAAGTTCACCCAGTGAAAGGCAAAAACCAACTCCTGCAAGTTGTCCTCTGACCTCTACATGCACACACACACACACACACACAAAATGTAATAAGACCTTTTAGATTGCTCCTTGAATTGCTGACTTCACATTCATTTAAAGAATTGTTAAAAGGGTTTGGAATTGCAATTAAGGACAGAATTCTCAACAATTTCTGAAATGGCCCTAAGCAAAGTTTTTGATATTTTGTGCCATGTGTTTTTGAAGAGCAGTGTTCTCAGCATTGACAATGATAAAATCAAAGCATCTGTCAACTCTGAAATACATTGAAGATGCTCTGTGTCCTGCAGCATCAAGTACTCAGCCAAGATTCAATTCTGATGTAAAAATAAACAAGCATATTCATCTCATTAGTACGTGTTCATCTTTAATAAGTGCTTAAATTATGTGAATACCAAATAATTGTTTTAAAATAGATTTCTTTATGATTAATTTCAGCAAATGTTTTGTCTATATATTGTTGGTATGTGTGAGCCCACATGCTCATATGGGGAAGGGAAGGTCAGAAGTCAATGTCAGGTAGCTTCTTCAGTCACTCCATACCTTATTTATTAATTTACTTACTTACTTTGAAGGCAATTCTGCAGTTTTATTTGACATTCAGCAAGTTAGTTCTCATCTATGTTGACTGTCTGTAGATTTTTGAATGTGGTAACAGGGATGTATGTTACCAATGTGTAGAGCTTGTTAGATGAGCCCTCATCCTCATTACGTTTTTCTGGACAAACATAGTGGATATGATAAGGAGCATTCCTTATTCCTTTGATGCAGATGTCCTTATTGAGCCTAATATTGATGCCCACACATCTGGAGGCCCCATCTCCTTCATGACAAATCCGTGTTTCTTTGAATTCCTGAGGAGCACGCTTCTTGAAGCCCATTCTGTGGATGCACTTGTGAATGTTGATGGTATATTTTCGGATCATCATATAATTGCTGGCAGAACAGCTCTTTTTCTTCTCACCACCCTGCTTTGTGGGAACCATTCTGCCAGGCCCCTTTTGGAATTGTGGGAAAAGAAAGCTGCAAGTATTACCTGACTTATTCCTTAACAGAATCTATCCCTGAAGTGGGAGATTAATGATTCAGCTAGACTGTCCGGCCAGTAAGCTCCAGAGATCCTCCAATTTCCCCTTCCCTAGTCCTGAGGTCGCAGGTAGCAAGGTCATGCCTGGCATTTTAAGTCAATGCCGAGGTTGGAAATCAGGGTCTTTTGCTTGAATAGCAAGCATTTTGTCAATGGGACAGTTTCCTTACTCAGCCTCTGTAAACGTAGATACCAATATACCCAAGGTGATGTTTCCTGGGTTAAAAAAAAAAAGAGGACTGAAAGTTTAAGAAGCCCTGGTCTCAGGCCATGATCTACCAATCGTGCTGCAGATGCCATTTCACTGGTTCTACAAAAGTCCCCTTCGGTATTTCTATTACTTCTCCAAGGGCACTTTCTTCTTTTGTCGTGGCATTTAAGGTCATGCAGAAGATAAATATAGTTTTCAGAGATTAATGAAATGTGTTGTCCTTGTGAAGCTCAGAGGCCACACAAGAAGAAATCTGATATCTCAAGTTCATTTATGAAGATACTTATTTAGTATTACTATTTGTATTATTATATTAGTGTGTGTGTCTGTGTGTATGCGTGTGTGCATGTCACAAGGTCACGTGCAGCAATCAGAGGACAAACTTATGATATCAGATCTCTCCTTCCACCTTTATCTGAGAACCAGGGATCAAACCTAGGTCCTCAGGCTTGCACAGCAAACTCCTTTTCCAAATGAGCCATCTAATCCGCCCCTTTTCTGTTTTAAACAGCTGAACTTCAGGATAATTTCTTAGACAATAATAGCTAATACAGCATCCTTGCTGTGTGGATTTTTGGTATCCTTTGCTTCCTTGGCCTACTCCAAGGGCCCAATCAGCCTTGGTGATGAATAAAACTGGGAAGCTGGGGCCATTAAGGGTATAATGGAGTTGGAGGAGAGTGCCTGGGGTAGCAGGAAGTACCTCTGTGATGACCTCATTGCTCAGAGAACAGCAGTAGTGGAACACAGGGCTGGAGAATAAAGCCTCTCTGTCACACAAGGCCAGCTGGCCTGAGCAAATTCTCAATGATACACATGGGCTGAAAGGCTGTGGACCTCCCTTTGCCAGAGACGGGAGCTTCTAGCATGTTATAAGGGACAGGATGAGAGTCAAGATGGAATCAGGGCAGCCACCCTAATACAAGAAGCTGCTATTAGAATCCAGGGACCTGTAATCTTGAACAACTTGTTTTACTTTCTAGATAGTATCCACTTTGTAGTCATATCTCCTTTGATGGTGTTATTTTGGTTTTTGTTCTTAGTTTTTGTTTGTTTGTTTTGTTTTGTTTTTGAGACAGGGTTTCTCTGTGGCTTTGGAAGTCCTGGAACTAGCTCTCTTATACCAGGCTGGTCTCAAACTCACAGAGAGCCAACTGCCTCTGCCTCCTGAGTGCTGGGACTAAAGGTATGTACCACCACGCCGGGCCAATGGTGTTATTTTGAAGATGCATTCAATAATGTAGGTCAAGCTCTTTACAGAATGCACATGGAAGATTAATTTTGCCATTACTCCTGGAAGAGGGCCAAGTTGAGGGTCTGTCTGGATGCTTGCACCAGGATCTGGGTGCGCTGGGATCTGGGTGAGCAGAAAAGGAAAGTCCTCCAAAGCAGGGTGGTGAAGACCAATGTGACAGGCCTCTCTCCAAAATAAAAGACCAATGAATATTCCAGAAACCACCTCCAAATGGAATTGGAACCACAGAGAAATTGTCTGCAAAAGCCCCATTTTCTATTGAACATGAAGTAAGCCTTCAGAGAGCGCTTATTCCATTTTGATATATGAGCTGCTGAGATGAGACTATACAGCTCAAGCCTCATTTGACACAAAGGCCCTCTTACAGATGGCTTATTCCAAGAAGTCAGTGAACGAAAATAGACCAGTGTTTCTCATCTAGAAGTCATGACTCATTGTTCTCCAGAGAAATCACACAGGAGCAAAACTCAGGAGGGTGGAGCCACACCCCATGGATGTCAGCAATTTCACACTGAGGAAAATGCATCAGTCTAATGAGTTGGAAAATCAGATGATATCAGATGAGAAGTGACACTTTAGATATGATACATAAGTTTCGTAGAAATCATAGAAAATCCTTGATTTTAAAGGGAAAGTATAAAGGGTCACAGATAAGCAGAAAGATTTTAAAATCTGGGTGTGGGTGTGGACACCACTCAGGAGGCAGAGGCAGTCAGATCTCTGAATTTGAAGTCAGCCTAATCTACAGAGTGAGTTCAAACACATCCAGGGGAAAAAAAAAAAAAAAAAAAAAAAAAAAAAAAAGCACTTTCGACACTTCTTGAAGCTGGAGTTTGGAGCTGGAGAGATGGCTCAGTGGTTAACAGCACTCATTGCTCTTGCAAGGGACCCAGGTTCCTAGTGTCCACATGGTGATTCACAATCATCCCTAACTCCAATTCCAGGGGTTCTACACCCTCTTCTGAACTCTGTGGGCCTCTGTGGGCACTAGGCACAAACATGGTGCACTGATTTACATATATGCAAAAGACTCATACACATAAATTTTAAAAGTTTTTTTTAAAGTTCTAAAATCTCGCTGGGCAGTGGTGGCACACACTTTAATCCCAGCACTCCGGAGGTAGAGCAGGCAGATCTCTGTGAGTTTCGAGGCCAGCCTGATCTACAGAGTGAGATACAGGACAGCCTCCAAAGCTACTGAGAAACCCTGTCTCCAAATAAAAACAAAATAAATAAAAACAAAAACAGCTTTAAAATCTCAAAATATTCTTTTTATTATCCAAATGTAAAACACCGTACTTATTGTTCTTAAAGGAAATGGTGACATCTTTACTAAAATAATCACAGATTTTGATACTGTAAATTGTGACTCTGCAAAGTAGCTTTTACTGAACACATACCAACAGATTATAAAAACTACTTGGGATGTCCATTAAACATATAGATTCTAGTCTAGCACAATGGCACACACCTGTAATCCTAGTATTTAGGAGACAGAGGCAGAAGGATTGGCATAAATTTTAGGGCAGCCTGGGTTACACAGTGAGTTCCAGGTTAGCCAGACCTGGAATTTCAAGAATTAACAAAAACAAATGAATAAACAAACAGTACTGTTCCTAGGCCCTTTCCTGGGAATTGTTTCCACTGGGCCTAGGGTAGAGCCCTGGAACCTGTACATAGAGCAGCCTCCTGTCCCCTTACAGTCACTGGTTTCTTTGATGAACAATTTTGTGAAATGGTGCTTTATATGTGGTTTATGTTAAATAACCTTTACAATAGCCCTCCAAAGCATCTAGGGAGGTGGCACCTGAGTTTGATCCCTGGACCTACATGGTGGAAGGAGAGAATTGACTTCTGCAAGCTCTCTCTCTCATACACACACACACACACACACACACACACACACACACACACAAATAAGTGAATGCATTGAAAGGAAATAAAATAGAAAAGAAAATCCTCTAAAGCAGGAGCCATTATCTTCTGTATTTTCCACGTGAGGAAACCAGTTGACAAACACAGGAGTCGCTGGCACTAGCCAGAGCTGTCTGTCCCAAGTGAGGTGCACAATCACCATACTGAACTAAGGGTGGGGGGTATGGTTGGAACTCAGCTCTTCATGGCAAGGTGGCCACCTTCACACTGGGTGAGAGGTTGACTGGGAGGTGAGCCAGGAAGAGGAAGCATAAGGCCTGAAGATCACTTTGATGACTCTGGGATCTCTGGATTTGAGGAGTCATTCTTTGGGCCCTGGGAGACAAAAATGTGACACAGAGTATGTGATCTAAGCTCTGGATGGTAGAGGCATTCAGAGTTCTGGAAGCCAGGGCTTTCAGATCACCATAGATCATCAAGGAGCACCCAAAGATTTCCCTCCGGTGCTTTCAGGGCCAGATAGGGTCCCTGGAACTGATGACAAGAACATGAGCAATGTTGTGTGGTGGTCATTTTTTATAGGCATATAAGACATTACAATGACCATTGCTTCAAGTAATGAGGGGATGCCTTCAGAAGAGACAATGAGGTCAGCTGGGGATCCAAGCCATTGTCACAGACTGGCTAGGACCTTGACACATAGGTGACATAATTAGGTTTTCAATGTGTCTAATCCTCCTTAAATTCCCTGAGAAAGGATGCTGAAGTGCATTGTTCATCCCAGGGGGTGTGAACCAGTAAAGGTCATTGTTTTCAACAGAGAAGTTTTGAACACCACTCCCCACCACACCCCCTTTCACTCACTGTTCCTCAGTTTCCCCATCCTTTCCCCTTTTTAGCTCAGTTTTATTTCTGACAAGGTGAAGATCTGTAAGTCCTCACTTCTCTTCTTACCTCACTCATCTCATTTATTGCTCAGGAAGTAGGTGGGGTGGCTGGGATGATAACTCATAGAGCGATTTGTAGGTGTTGCAGTGCCTAAGTACTCTGCATGAACACATGTGTGTGGACACATGTACCCTTGCACGTACATACACTTGTCATACTCTTGTTTTATTTCACCCTTGCCTTGACTTTGTGAAGATAAGGAAAAGAACACTTCATTCTTGAGAGTCTAATTCTTTAGAACTTACATATACTGGACATTAGCCATTTACAGCAAAATGAAAACCAACTAAGAAGATGGAACTAAAATTTTGAGAACTCCTCGCCTACCTGCAGCGTCACTGAAAGTGACCAAGGAGCATCACTGGCAAGATTGTAATTATAAAGCAAAAACCAAGTACACATACACACACACACACACACACACACACACACAGAGAGAGAGAGAGAGAGAGAGAGAGAGAGAGAGAGAGAGAGAGATTAGCTGCTATCCTCAATTTCTAGATTTTCCTGCTTCTGCCCCCAGAATCTGGGATTACAGGCATGTATCACCTTTCCTCAAACAACTGTTTTCTTTCTATTCTTTGGCAGGGAGATGGAGAGGAAAGAAGGC